GAAAGAGCTTGTATTATTATTACTATTTAGCTGAGTTGAACAAGCACTTTTTGTTTTATATTGGAACTAAAGGATGTGACAATGTACAAAAAATAGAACAGAGTACAGTAAATGTTATCCAGCACTTTTATTTATCCTTTCCACTAAACTTTGTTGAAGGCCGGTTACATTACCATCTTAATAGGAGATCACAAATGGCTGTAAAATGGGATATTCCCAATTTGCAATGGTAAAGTAGAAATAAAACTCTTAGACCTCAAATTGCGCTTTCTTTTAGATTATGGTGTCAGAAAGAGACAGCAAGCAGATTGTCTTTGCAGGATCCCCTGCTCAGTGTGTTGCTCTCCATTACAAAGGAGATTGAACAAAAGTCCCCAGATTGCTTGGAGCATAGATGAGTCATATCAATGTCCTGGGCTCCAGACATCTAACCAAGGCTGTAATGTTGAGGTGGTTTTGTCAGTTTCATGCTGGGGATCATGGAATATATTTACAATTGGCTGACCCATCAGTAACTAGTGCAAACAGAGGTCTGGTTTTTACAGGAGTTTTAGCGCTATCATGCATTCACCATAAGTCACACTCCAGACTATGTGTTGGAAATAGCTCAAAAATTAATAAATCTTTTTTTTTTTTTTTAACCAACAAACATTAAAGGGGAACGCTGTTTTATTTTACATTGGGCCCTTGATTTTACGTTATTACATCATGTTCTACTCACCCATATGAGTTTTGTGTCATTTGGAGCTGTTCTGAAGATATTTCGTTAGGTTATATACAAGTAATGTCTTCCTATTGGCAATGACTTGAAGGCACAAAATAAACTGTTCAGAATTTATAATTTATGGTACGCAGCATTCATAACATGTAGGTGAATCACTGTCCCCTAGACATCCGCGGTTGTATTTTTTATATTTATATCTTTTAAAAACGAAACGGCGCGTGTAAATGTCCTAAATGTTTTACAACCAAACATTTCTAAAATCAAGGGCCCAATGTAAAAAAACGGCGTTTCCCTTTAACTGATCTTATTCACCCCTATTTATGCATATTCATGCTGGACACTATTTAAAACTTTAAATAATAATTGATTCCATTAAATGTTTGAAACCAATGTTAAAGAATCACTTTACTGTACATATTATTCAATATTAGATTTAAATGTACATAAAATGTAACTATTTCCCTACCTATTATTATGAATAAGTCACCTTCCAGTGCCAGCCTTTTACATTAATTTCATTCATCCTCAGAGGAATATTAAAAAGTTGAGCTTGACATATTTAAACACTCAATATATCAAGGGAAAGGCCAGAATCTAATATTTGAAAAAAGGCTCAAAGCCACGACCTGACCTGAGCCTGACTGACACACTTGAATAGTGGGCCAGAGCCAGAAAAATGTATTACTGCTACTAAATTCAGGCAGTCTGTGTGGCTCACACCAGTGGACTAATGTGCACAATGAACGCTTGGTTACAGCGCTCTCCACAGCGAACATTGGCCCAGAACAGGTCAGGTCCAGATGTGCGTGTCATGAATTTCATGTGCAGGGTGTTACAGAGCAGAGCAAACTTACCCATCATGAGGACGGGCTCCAACTGTTATCTGTGTGCATTCAAATGAAGTGTGATGAAAAGTGATTGAACAAAATGTTTGGAGGGGCCTCGGATTCAATGGCTTCAAGAGAACAGCGCATATGTAACAAATCGCCATTCTTTAAGTGGAATATGAATTTATAGCTTGTGTGTTTCTGTGTCCGTGGCACTATTGATTAATATTAAAGGATGCTGTGATAGAAAAGTTTCAAAGTGAAATCATATATGCTTTTTAGCTTTTATTTAAAACTCTGTGTAAATGTGTTTTTTGGTGCTGTAGCATTTTATCAACTTAAAATTGTAGAAGTGACTTAATTTATGGTCAGGACATTTAT